AAGTGGAAAAGGAGGCGAAAAGCTATCAATAAAGAAGGTTCGAACTAGATTCAGCCAATTTAAAAGCCTCTGGTCGCGTTTGGAATGGCTCGACTGCTTTTTTTTAGAAGCAACGGACCTAAAATGACTTGCGCGCGGGAATCGCTGCACAGAAAGTTTTTACTAGAAAAGTGGAAAGGAGGCGAAAAGCTATCGATAATCAAGGTTTGGACCAGCGAATTCAAAAGCCTCTGGTCGCATTTGAAATGGCTCATCGCATAGCGGCTGCAAATCTGTTTTTCGAGGAGCACCGGACTTCGAACGAGTTGCGCGCATGAGCATCGGGAAGGATTAGACGGATAAAACCTGCGTGACTTTGAACAATTCCAAGTGCGACCAAGATTTTTTTGAATAAGAACAAATTCAGTATCAAAGAATACACACCAGGAGTTCCATAAAACTAGAAGTATTGAAAAAAATTATTTAACTTTTAAAGATTACGCTCGAGTTTGGAATGGTTGCGACCGACCTAAAACGGCTTGCGGCGTGAGTATTATAAAAAAACCTGGGGCTAGGTGTTGAAATTTGATTTTCGAAGCTTTTTTACTCTTTTCAACCGCTGAACACCAACCTATATGTCCTATTCACTACCAATTTGAATATTTTTGCCGCATTGGAAGGACTCTTGAGCGTTGCGGTCGCGCTGCGGCTCGAGTTAGACGTCCAAAGCATTTCAGTGTCTTGAGACTTAAGTTAACGAAAAACACAAGTCGTTTTGGGTCGGGTGCATTTTCAAATCAAGCGAAGCTAGGGTCACGACGCTTTGAGCCATTCAAATGAGACGACAGATTTTTGAGTTCAAAAAATGAAATTTTCTGGATTTTAGTGAAGACGGGCGAATAATAAGTGAATAAACTTGGTAGTCCGGATCCAAAAAAGTCCAAAAGCTGATTTTGAAGTGTAGTTTAAAACATCAGATATATAAATAAAACACCATTTCTGCACGAAAAAGCCATCATTTTTGTTGTCTTGCTTTTTTTTTTCAACACAGAACATGCAATTATCCGCTCCCACACAAAAATAAATATTTATAGTCATTTGGACCCTGTAGTCGCATTTGGAATGGCTTCAAGCTTGTTACAATGCTTTGAGATGATTCCAAGCGGAAGACGGTTTTGGTCGGGTGAACCTTGAAATTGCGTGGGAGGAATGATTAGAACATGCAATTATCCGCTCCCACACGAAAATAAATATTTATAGTTATACATCATTTGGAAGCTTTGGTCGCATTTGGAATGGCTTTGGGCTTGTTTTAATGCTTTGAGATGGCCCCAAGCGGAAGTCGGTTTTGGTCGGGTAAACCTTGGATTTGAGCTTTGCGCGTAAGAAATGATTGAGTATGAATTTTGGCGAGAAATTTACAAAAATCTGACTTTTTTTTTAGTAGCGATTGCTTTGCACCTTGTTACAGTGCTTTGAAATGATTCCAAGCGGAAGTCGGTTTTGGTCGGATGAATCTTGAAATTGAGCTTTGGGTGGGAGAAATGATTGGAACATGCAATTATCCGCTCTCACACGAAAATAAACATTTATAGTCATTTGGACCCTGTGGTCGCATTTGAAATGGCTTCAAGCTTGTTAAAATGCTTCGAGATGACCCCAAGCGAAAGTCGGTTTTGGTCGGGTGAAAATTGAATTTGAGCCTTACAATGAAGTTTTCAGGTCTCCAAGTGAGGAATGATTAAGTTTAAATCAAAAAAATATGGATTGTATCATATATATCGTTTCCATAAGACCATCAACATATTGTCAACTTTATTTTCTCAAAAAAAAGGATGAAAAGAATTTTTCAAATCCGTGTCTCTCAGTGATGTCCGATCGCATTTTCAAATTTTAATCATCGGGTTGAAGTAAATGTCTAGCGGAACAAATATGACATTTACCACCTTTGGAAGTATGACTAATGAGGAAGAATCAAGCAGGAAAACAAACTTCCTATCGAGGTTGATTAGAAAAATTTTAATTAATTTTGCCAAGATGATTAATGGGAAATAATGCTTTATGGACCCGAAAAATTGGTCGCAAAACATGTTTTCGAAAATATTTGCGGTATGACTAATGTTGATTCTGAAAATAACGCTATGATTTAAGAAAATGAGTCGAGAAAAAATAGCCGCCATGTAGAGTTGAAAATGCGCTCCATGGCTAAAATGTGCGGTTTTGCTGATTTTTGAACTAGGAGCTATAAGAGCATATCAACTTAGTTTCAGAAGGAATAATGAGCTTCCTAACTGAAAAAAAAAATTTTTGGTCGCATTTGGAATGGCTCAAAGAATTTATTTAAATTTTTTTTGTGTTTTTTAGCGCAAGCCGTTTCAGGTCGGGCGCGTTTTTTTAGCAAAAGAGGTGCAGGGAAGTTGTTTAAATAAAGTTCTCAAATTTGAAAAATGCAATAGTTCCGTGGAGCGCACTTTCACTTTCCCCCACAAGGAAGGTCATTTAAAAACTTTGCGGTCGGGATTTGCTTGAAAATTGGCCAGGATACTCTTTGAAGTACCAAAAGAAGATATTGAAAGTTTCAACTTTCACAAAGTCCTAGTTTTTGAGAAAGAACACCTCGAAGTCGAAGAAAACGCTTGAAATTTGTTAAAATGGGGCTTTGGGGTCTCCTTTCTCGAAAACCCGGGAGTTGTGCGGGCTGAAACTTCCAGGATAGTTTCCTGGTACATCAAAGAGTGTTTTGGCAGAGTTTCGAGAAATTCCCAATGACCTTCCTTCTGGGGCTATTTTTTGAAGCACCCCATCTCGCTAAACTTTGAGAATTCCAAAAAGTGAAACTTTATTTTTTGATAAAAACCATGAAGAACCTGTTCTTTTTCACGTCGTTTGCAACGTCTGATAGGGTAGAGAAGGGAAAAAAAACAAGAAGTCGATGATTTTTCGACGTTTGACCGCACCACATTCTGGACTTTCGACGTAGTCAAAATAGGCCTTTTTTTTGACATTTTTCCAGTTTTCTCCACCATTTCTAGGTTTTCTGACAAGTTGACCACTTAAGGGATCCCTAGGGGTTTTTTGAAGTAAATTTTAATGATGAGAAGGCTCAAAATAATCGTTTATTTCTCAATTTTAGTGGAATTTTTAGCTTTTTTTTTTTTGATTTGTTTAATAAATTGAGGTTTTCTTTGAAATTTGGTAAGCCTAGACACTACTAAAGAGGTTTTAAAACACTTTTTTTGCCTCAAATTTGAACTATCCTTGAGAAAACTCTCCCTTTTTCAAGCCAAAGAACAGAAATCAGGCCTGAAAAGTGTAATTTTCGTTGTTGTGGCGTCCAAAGATGACCCAACAAGGTCACCAGATCAAAAGAAGGAAGAATGGGTGCCGCTTGGGCGGCGAATCGATCGATTTACTTAGGCCCAACTTTTGCTTTTTTCATTTTTGTAGATTTTTAATGAATCGATATGCATTCTGAGCCATAAATTCCTCATATTTTTCAGTATTCGGGAGCATTTTTTTTATATTTTCCCCCCTTTTGGTTCTAGCTTTATTATTTTAGTTCTGGGACCGTTTTTTAAATTTTTTCGATTTTCCAATGAAGTTTATAACGTTGAGAGCCCATTTTTTCAGTATTTAATAATTTTTCAGGCTTTTTTTAGAAAGAATTTGAGAACTTTGTACTCAATTGTTGGCTTTTAGATTTTTCTAAAAGAATGCTTTTAGTGTTGAAAGCCTCGATTTTTGAAGATAAATGGTTTTTGAACCTCTAATACGAATATTTTTTTCATGATTCTCGATATTTGGAACAAGAAAAAAATTGATAAATAAGGTCTCAATTTTTTTCGGCTTTTATCACAATTCTTGAGCAGTTTTTAAACGAAAAAAATTAAAGAAACTGCGAATTTTTTTGAGAAATTCTTTGAATTTTGAGGTTTTTTTCAAGGTTTCTTGAGAAGTCGGATCGTTTTTTTAGATTTTTTTCTTTTTTTTGGCTATTTCTTTGAAAAATTAATTTTAGAGCCTTTTGAATTAATAAACTTAAAGGGGAAGTAACTGGAACTTTCTAAGAAGTTTTTTGAATTTAAAGGGCTTATCGATCCTTTTTTTGTTCGAGGTTTCTCGGAAAAAAATGGGCTCTTCTTTTTGATTTTTCGATATTTGAAAAAAATTGATAAATAAGGTCTCAATTTTTTGGCTTGTACCAGAAATTTTTTTGAGCAGTTTCAAAAATCTATGCAAAAAAATGAAAAAAAGCTGGGAATTTTTTTCAAAATTTGCCAGAATTTGAAGTTCCTCCGATCTTTTATTTGTTCAAGGTTTCTCGAAAAAAATTGGCCGTTTTTTTGATTTTCGAGAGTTTCGATCAACTTTTGGTCAGCTCAAAAAAAATTTATCTTTTTTTTAGAAAGAATTCTGATTCTTGATATCGAAAAAAAAAACGTTTTCTTTTCTCTTTTTTTTCGACTCTAACAGACGTCGGGAATGTTTTTCAACCGATCTGTTCGGCCTTTTTTTTTTCTCCCATTTTACCAAAGATCCACAGTTGAGATAAGGGTCTTCCCTTCCTTTTCTCTCATTTTTCTTCAATTTTTTTTTCTCGGGTTTGAAATTTGATAGACTGTAGGAACGAATATTGATGGGTTGGCATGATTTTTGAGAAAATTTCCAAAAAAAAAATGAAAAAAGTTCAGATTCTGAAAGAATTATCTATGATTGTTTGCTCCCTGGGGAATCTCAGATCAGTTTTTTTACCTAGATATTTTTTAAAAACTTGATTCAGCCTGTAAAAGATATTTTTTTGAACTTGATTCAATTGAAAGATGAAAGTTTTGAATCCCCCTCCCCCAAAGTTTCAACCCCCTGGCCAGATTTTTTTCAGAACATTTTGAGCCATTTTTCAACCTTTTTTTCTCAATTTTTCTCAAAGGAAAAATTTTTATGAAAGATTCCCATTTGAATAGTTATCAGCTTCTTTCTCGAGGTTTCCAATTAAATTTTTTTATCGACGAAATTTTCCAGGTATGCACCTGAACGGGGCCCTTCTCAAGTACTTTTCCTGCCTGTTCCCGTATTTTTTCCGGGAAAAGACGGCGAAAGTCGGCGACGAGCCGGCCAAGCTGCCCACCTGCTGCCGGACCCTCGATGATCCCAACACGGATGCGGTATTTTTTAAATTTTCTTGAGAAAAATATCGTTTAACGAAGCCTTATTCTGGCCTTCTGAATCCATGAAGTGACGTCACAGATCAAAAACTCCCAAAAAAATTCCATTATCTCAGCTTTTTTTTAAGGATTTTCCGAGAATTTTCCTTAAGTTATGACTTTTCAAACTTTCGACATCAAATTTTCAGATTTTAAGCTTCATTTCTGTTAAGAGCATACTCTAGGAATCTAAAAAAGGAAGTTTTGGGACGGTAGCCACTTAAGGGATCTTCAAATAGACCTTCAGTGAACACTTGAGCAAATTTTCAAAATGTCCAAACTTCACACTGAATGCTTTCCCTTGACAGTAGTGTATTTTAGATCAACAGATTTTACGAGGTTTTAATTGAAAATTGGAGATTCGAAAGGTCTTGTGCGCTCCAATGAGAAAAGAAGTGAAAAGTTCATTTTTATTAAAAATGTGGACCGTTTCGTTCTTAGGAGTTTTAGAGTGGTCCCTATAGGGGTTAGAGGGGAAAAGCAGCTCCTGAAGGGACCAAAAAAGAGGGCCCTTTAGGGGTTTAGGGTCTGAAACCAGCGGCTCTAAAGCTTAAGTGGTCCCCATAGGGGTTAGGGGAAAAACAGCTCCTATAGAGACCGAAAAAGTGGTCCCTTTAGGGGTAAAGTCAAAGTGGTCCCTATAGGGGTTTAGAGTCTGAATCCTTAGACCCTGAAGCTCAAGTGGGCCCTATAGGAGTTAGGGGGAAAAACAGCTCCTATAGAGACCGAAAAAGTGGTCCCTATAGGGGTTTAGGACCTGGCACTAGGTCCTAAAACTTAAGTGGTCCCTATAGGGTTTAGGATCTGGCACTAGGCCCTAAAACTCAAGTGGTCACTATAGGGGTTCGGGGGAAAGTCAGTCCCTATAGGGGCCGATAAGTGGTCCCTTCAGGGGTAAAATCAAAGTGATCCCTATAGGGGTTTAGGGTTTGTCCCCAGAGCTACTAAAGGTTAAGTGGTCCCTACAGGGGTCGATAAATTTCATTCAAAAAAACATTTTTTTTTTAAATTTTTCCACATAGAAGTTCTTCTTCGTCGCTAGTTTAAAAAATCCTATAGGGACCACTTTTGCAAGCTTCAGTGGTCCCTACAGGAGTTGGTAAAGCGGTCCATGGAGAGAACCCTCCAAGGGCTTATAAGGTCGCCCCTATAGGGACCACTCTGGAGTTGCTTAGTTTGTCCAAAGAATTTATTTTGATTCGAAGATTATAGTTCTTGGAACACCTTGATTTTTCTCAGAAGACCATTTTCATGTGCGAAAATTGTACCAAATTGCTTCGAAATTTAAAAAAAATGACATAAAGTTTCTTTTTTCAGCGCCTGAAATGCGTGGAGCAGCTCTACAAGCGAAGCAACTCGGAGATTTTTGTGTATTAACTGTTCGTATTTTATTAATCGTTTTTTGTACAACTTTTTCCAGTTCAAAACCCACTCATAATTTAGCTTTAAGCATCAATTCTTCAGTAATAAAATGGAATAAATTAATTATCGATCGATAAATCGTTCAAAAAAAAGAAGGAAGAAAAGGAAAACAAGGAATTTCGTATCTAGGCAGTTTTTCCAGAATAAAATTTAAAAATCTATGAAAAGGTACAAAGCAATTCGCAGAGGCAGCATTTTCCTGATTATCCCTTAAATGACCACTCGTATCCGGGCCCTTTAGTGAACACTTAAGAGATTCTAGTGAAAAATCGTTCAAGAAATAACTTGAAGGTTTGCTCTCCTTGCTGGGAAAATTTTTAGTGGCCACTCTAAGGGTTAAAAATAAGTGGCCACTATAGAGGTCTAAGTGCTAGACCATTAAAATTTTTAGTGGCCACTTTAGGGGTCAATGGATCAACATAACTTGTCCAATCTGTTTGTTTTAAAATTATCAGAGTTACTGGAAGGAATACTGAATGAAAAACTACTGAAGTGGCCACTAAAACGGAAAAAAGTGGCCACTATAGAGTCGAGTTTAGTGGCCCCTTCAGTGTCCTCTCCAAGTAGTCCTTGGCGAGCCTCTATAGTGGCCTCTAAAAATTTACCCAGTGGATATATCATTATTCTCTTAGGGTCGTTGCTGAAGTAGTACTCTAAGTGGTCACTTGAGGGAAGCGTCCTGATGATTTTTGAGCGCTACTTCTACCCTTGTGGCCACTGAAAAAGCTCTAAAAAAATCAAGTGACTTCTTAAGAGATTTTTGAGTTTACAAATTCAAGTGTTCACTTAAGGAGAGACCAACTTTCTCAGAAAAGGCCACAAGAAGCTTTGAAATGCTCAACATCATGGAGGTCTCTGAAAAGGACGTTTTCGTCGAAAAAGTCCATTCGAAACGGCTGTTGGAGGCTGAGTTTCCATAGCAAATTTCAAAAGTTTTCTGTAATGAAGCTATAAAAATTGACAAAGAGAAGTTGGAATCGTTGAAATGAACCTCAAAAATTGAAAATCACGTCAAGAAATGAAAAAAATGAGTGAAAGTGATACGAAGAGCTGGAAATGACGTCTTGAAGAATTGACGTTAAGTGAGGTCATCAAGAAAGAAGCTTCTATCTTCAAAAATTATCACGAACAAGCACGGCTGCATAATATATATATATTATTTAAACAGATCTATATCTTATCAACCAGGAGAACAGAGGATCTTATCATATCAGTTTCGAGAGAAAATCTCAAAAAAAGGTCCAAAAAAATGACAGTTTTGGAAATTGAAAGCTTCATAACTCTTTTCAATTCGAAGTTACAGCGGAACTGATTATATCAATCGATTTGTCTTGTTATCAGCTTTCTAATGAGGTGCAATTTGAATAGTTTCCTCCAACATGGACGACGTCATCAACTTTTCCAGCTTACATCTCAGCTTTTGCCTCAATTCGAGAATGGTCATTATCAAACGATAGACCGCTTGAGACGGATCTAATGATAAATCTCAGTCTTTGATAACTTATCGAGAATAGAGCTACAAGCTGAAACAGGTCAGAAGCTTTTAGAAGAAGCTCAATCAACTGACAACCTATATCATTCGAAAGCTGACATCGAGACAAACCGACTGATATGATTAGATATGCTGTAGCTGCTCACAGAGCCGAGATATAAGCCTTCAAAGTTCGTCTTACAAAATCAAATTGCGCGTCAGATCAAATAAGTTGTGTGAAGTTGCGCGTCGGGTCAAGCGTCAGTCTGAGGGTCTCATCGGTGTGATTTCCTCGCGAAAAAGGAAAAGCTCAAAAAAAAAATTGGTCTTTTTCAAGTTTTTTCTAGCGTAACTGATAAAAAAGCTTCCACATGGTACGTTATCATATCAGTTTCAAGGGAAAAGCTCAAAATTTGCGGAAAACAGAGGTTTGAAAAAAAGGCATTTCTTGGGCTCTCAAGTCTCATAACTTGGCTCTCAGACCAGCTACAGCTTATCAAGTCATATCAGTCCATTCGTCTCGATATCAGCTTTCAAATGAAATAGGTTGTCATTCAATTAAGCTTCATCCAGAAGCAGCAGACTTGCCTCAGTTTGTAGTTCTATATTTTGGTAAGTTATCAAGGATCAAGAAAAACTAGGGCTTTAAGTTCCTAACTTTCTAGAAGTCAAGTTTGCAAAAAAGTCAAGAAAGTTAGAAAAATCATAACTCTGTTTCTAGGCGTGTAAGAACGGTTAGACCTGGATTTTTAAGCTTCCGACGTTATTCCCTATTGATTGATATAAAAATCTCGAAAACTTTGGATTTCGGGAAAATCGAAAAAAGTACAGTCTAACCCCTTCAGTTTTTTTCGAGCTTCTGAGGTCATGGAAGCCGATCTGGACGAAACCTATACCAATCGATAGATCTCGACGAAAAAATAACCTGAGATCAGGTTTGACCTCGGTAGATCAACTGGGAACTGAATTCTGGGCGATCAAACTTAGAAGTCTAAAAATGGAATGTAGGTCGAAATTAGTATCAATCGATAGAGGAGATCATAGGGATCAAGAAAAACTAGGTATCTAAGTTCCTAACTTCCTGAGAATTGAGATATGACTTTTTGAAAGCTTTGAAAAATTATAACTTTATTCCTAGGCGTCTAAGAACGGTTTGACCTGGAATTTCCGGCGTCTGACGTCATTTCCTATCGATTCATTTAAAAATCTCGGAAACTTTGGATTTCGGGAAAATCGAAAAAAGTACACCCCTTCAGTTTTTTTAGAGCTTCTGAGGTCATGGAAGCCGATCCGGACGAAACCTATATCAATCGATAGATCTCGACGAAAAAATAACCTGAGACCAGGTTTGACCTCCGTAGGTCAACTAGGAACTAAGTTAGAAGCGATCAAACTTGGAGATCGGAAAATATGAAATTGCTCGAATTTGGTATCAGTCGATAGAGGAGATCAAGGAGGTCAGGAAAAACGCAGTCTCGAAGTTCCTAACCACCTATGACAGAAGTTATGATTTTTCGAAGATAAAAAAGAGACCAATTTCAAGAGGCTTATATTCTACTATCATGTATTTTTGAATTATTTCATTCGCTTATTAGAACTCAGGACGTCGTTCTGCGTCGATAGATATCCCATTACCCGAGGCTATGCTCAGAGAAGTCTGAAGCTTTTAGATGAAGCTCGATCGACTGATAGCCTGTATCATTAAAAAGCTGACATCGAGACACATCGACTGATACGATCAGATAAGCTATAGCTGCTCTGAGAGCCGAGATATAAACCTTCAAAGTTCGTCTTGAAAAATAAAATTGCTCGTCAGGTCAAATATATCGTCCGAAGTTGCGCGTCGGGTCAGGCGCCTGTCTGAGGCTCTCATCGGTGTGGTTTCCTCGCGAGAAAGGAAAAGCTCAAAAAAAAGTTGGGTTTTTTCAGGTTTTTTCTAGCGTAACGGGTAGATTAGCTTCTATATGTAACAGTTATCATACCAGTTTGGAGGGAAAAGCTCAAAAATCGGGTGAAAAATGGATCCTCGAAAAAGGCATTTTTAGAACTTTCAAGCTTCCTATCTCGGCTCGCAGAGAAGCTACAGCTTATCTAATAATATCAATCGATTCGTCTCAATGTCAGCTTTTTAATGATTTAGGTTTTCATTTGATTGAGCTTAATCCAGAAGCTTCAGACTTGCCTCGGCTTGCAACTCGACTTCTTGATAAGTCATCAGGTATTGAGATATATCAATAAAATCGCCTTAAGACGGCCTATCGTTTGACGATGATCATTTTCGAATTGAGGCAAAAGCTGAGATGTAAGCTGAAAAAGTTGATAACGTCATCCATGTTGGTCGAAACTTTTGAAGTCCCATATCATTGAAAAGCTGATAACAAGACAAATCGATTGATATAATCCGTTTTTCTGTATCTTCAAAATGAACCGAGTTATGAAGCTTGAAACTCACAAAAAATGCCATTTTTTCGGACCCATTTCTGACCTGATTTTTGTGCTTTTTTTTCAATCTGATATATTAACAGTACCATATAGAAGCTTCTCTATCGATCACAAAAGAAAGTACTTTAAAAACATCAACTTTTTTTGAGTTTTTCCTTTTTCGCGAGAAAACCACACCGATGAGACCCTCAGACAGGCATTTGACCAGACGCGCAACTTCACACAACTTATTTGATCTGACGCGCAATTTTATTTTTTATGACGATTTTTGAAGGATCATATCTCGGCTCGCAGAGCAGCTACAGCTTAACTGATTATATCAGTCGAATCGTTTCGATGTCAGCTTTCGAATGATATCAGTTATGAGTCGATTGAGCTTCATCCAGAAGCTCCAGATTTGCCTCAGCTTGTAACTCCATTTTCTGATAAGTTATCAAGAATTGAGATACATCCTTGAAACCGTTTCAACGCACTCTATCGACTTATAATGATCTCATACGATTCGGGGCAGAAGCTGAGATTCAAGCTAGAAAAATGATCGCAGCTCTATTTTTTTATACGCTGTCAAAAAGTTAGACATAAATTGGGTTGGATGCGTTTCACTTGTCATAACTTAACTTCAAACTGTTCTATCGGTATAAATCAAAGAAATTTATTAGTAATAACCCGTTCAAAAAGGGAAGAAGAAGCGAAGCAAGTAAATTCAGTGGCAATGATTTTCTTGTCAAGGCAACTTTTCAATGAGCTTTGAAAGCAATGAAAGAAAAAAAAACAATTAATGTGAAGGGCCGATATGACGCAGTTCGTAGAGGCCGCACTCGTCCTGATTATAATCGATCAGGGCCAGGGAGTTCATTTTCGTCTTGGCCAACGGATCCCAGGACTTTTCGGCCCACGAGGCTGAGCGGCCTGAAAGAAGTCCGATTTTTTTAGGGGTAGAATTTCAAAAAATTGGTTCAACAATGATTGTCTCAAACGAAAATCCCTTAAATTGCCACTTCAGAAAGTTACAATTTTTGATTCGGACTCCAAAATTTCTTCATAGGATCATTTAAATTAAAATTCTTCAGTTACCACTAGGCTGTGGAAACTCTAACTACTTAAGAGATCACTTGAAGATCTCCTAAATTCTAGTTTGTTCAAAAAAATAAATGAGAGTAGTTCAAGAGGCCACTTAAGGCGACATGTTTCAGGGATCGCTTGGAAGTGTTCTTCTTGATGAAATTTAGCTCTTTAGTGACCACTTGAAGGCTTTTGTAACCGAACTTCTTAAGTGACCACTTTAGGTATCACTCAGTTTGTCATTGGTTGCAAAGGGGCTACAGCTCTTTTTGAAGGACTACTGGACTTATATGAAGGGATCACACTCTTTAGAGATCATGCAAAGTTAAAAAATTAATCTTTGAACCTCTAAAGTGACCACTTTTTTGAGTGCCTTAAGTGGACCTCTCAAGTGACCACTAAAGGCATCTCCCAGCTTTTCATTAGTGAAAAAATACGCTAGAGCTCATCCTTGAACGACTACTTGCCGTTTCGCTTTTTAGTGATCCCTCGAAGTTGAAAAACCCTCAAGTGACCACTTGAGGAATCTCACAGAATGTCATTGATTAAAAAAAGCGCTGCAGCTCCTCCTTGAACGACTACTTGAATTCAGGCGCTTAAGTGATCACTAAAAGTTGAAAAACCCTCAAGTTACTACTTTAGGCATCTCTCAGCTTTTTAGTGGTGAAAAAAGGGCTACAGCTTTTTTTTTTTGAAAAACACTCGATTTCAGGCCCTTAAGTGATTACTCGAAGTGTAAAAAAAAATTCTCAAGTGACCACTTCGAGCATCTTTCAGCATATTCATTTGTAGTAAAAAAAAAAGAAAGCTTCTCCTTGAAGCTTTACTTGAAATATGGCCCTTTAGTGATCACTCGGAAATTTTCGAACGCAAATCCCTCAAGTTGTCACTTGAGTCATCCTTAGATCCAACGAAAAACAACCGATTCAAAGTTGTGAAGATGAAATGAGTTGCTATGAGAAATATATAGTGATCACTTAAGGCATTTCAGAGTTCAGTAAAGTGATCACTTAAGGCAATTCAGAGCTCAGTAAAGTGACCACTTAAGGGATTTCAGATCTCAGTAGAGTGATCACTTAAGGCATTTCAAAGCTCAGTAGAGTGATCACTTAAGGCATTTCAGAGCTCAGTAGAGTGATCACTTAAGGCCTTTCAGAGTTCTTGACTAACTAAAATGAGCTTTTCCGGACAAATTTGGTTAAAGGTACCGATTTTACTTCAATTTCAGTTTGGACGGATAATTTATGGTGAATTCTCTTGAGGTTAGATTAGTACCTCGTCCGAAGATGGCGAACTCGACGGCCGCCACGAGAAGAATCGCGACGACGAAAAAGTAGACGCGGGTCCATTCGGCACGGCTGCTGAAATTTCAAGATTTGCTTTTGACACACGTTCTCCGAGATTTTCGATTAACCCTTGGTACAAAAATTTCATCTTTGTTCCTGAGAGCTCTCCTTGCTATGATAGATAGTGGACAACCTCTTGAATATTTAGCCCAGGTTTTATTAGGCTCCGCCCACTTTCAGGCTTACTGTAGAAAAAACACCGTAAAAACCAAACTTTTTTCCTAGTGGAGCAAATTGGTCCAAACCAATTTTGAAACAAAATATGTTCCCTTTTGACCATTTAAAGTTATAGAACTGACCCGGAAAAAATTTTCTTTCAGAAGAAAAAAATTAAAGTTTTTTGAAAAATGACGATTTTCGCAGTCTTCAAGTCATAACTAGTACTAGAACCCCCGAATGCCTGGATTTTTTTATTTTTTTCAATCGACGCGTTAGGGTCTTGTGAGTAGAGGAAAAAAATGTCTAGAAGCTCTGAATCCGGGTGATCCAGTTGACCTTCATCTCGGAGAACGCGACCAACTTGAAAAATCGCAGAACCTTTGAAAAATTTCTATTTTTTTGTGAAAGCCGGATTCTGTCTTGTTTCTTATTTTTTTGTTCAACATACGACAGCTTGCTGCAAAATTACAGCTCAAAAAGTAGCGAGCTGGAACCCTTTAAAAAAATTTCTGACGTTTTTTTCCAATTTTTTTCGTTTTTTTCGGCATTTTCAATCTTTTTTTGCTCTAACTAGTAATAGAACCCCCGAATGCCTGGATTTTTTTATTTTTTTTCAATCGACGCTTTAGGGTCTTGTGAGTAGAGGAAAAAAATGTCTAGAAACTCTGAATCCGGGTGATCCAGTTGACCTCCATCTCGGAGAACGCGACCAACTTGAAAAATGAATAAATTTTTAAAAAAATCAGTTACTTTCTTAGGAGCAGGATTTTTCCCTCACTTCTTTTTTTGCCAATCAGACACAATCCACTCAACAAAAAATTGGAACAAAAAGTTATGGCTCTCAAGCATGACGAAATTTTTTTTTTCCAATTTTTCACTTTTTCGGATTCATTGTTTTTTTCTTTCCTTTCCAAGCATTGAGCTCTACTGGATTAGGATACCAGGAATGCTTGGAGTTTTTTCGTTGTACTGATCCGTTACATCTTCCCAAGTTCTTTAAAAATATTCCCAAGCTCTGTTTCCGGGTGATCCAGTTGACCTCCAAGCAGCCGAAGCGGTCGACCTCGAAGTCGAGCGAAATTAAAAAAATTTTCCAAACCGTTTTTTTGCTTCCTAACCAGTAGTTCTCATCATCTGGAGGGTTTTCAGTGTAGTTTCCACCAATTGCTGGCGTCAATTTTTATTTTTAGCTCATTTTTATTTTTTTGAGAATTTTTTAAAATTTTCGACGGGACGCAGCCCCAGCAATACCCCTGTCTGTCGAATAATCTGGAATTCCCTGGTATTATGCCTAAAAGAAAGTTCCAACTTACGTAAAGACACTACTTACGAAAAATAGTGACTACTATTTTGTGAAAAGTAAGAATCTTGTTTATCGATACCAACTGTTTGACTTTTTTTTGAGAAAAAAATTATTCTGGACAAAAAAATCATACAGAAAATAAAGAAAAATTTATTTCAAGCAAAAATAATCAAAAAAATTTTAAAACACTTTTTGTCCAAAATAATTTGATCAGCGTTTCAGTCCAGTTGATTATTGAAAAGGAAACTTCTGTTAAAACTTTGCTGAAAGGTACTATAAGACCTCCTCTTTCCAAAACACGAATAAAATTACTCGCAATAGATCTCGTTTTCGAGTTATGAAGCTTCAAAGCTTGCACGCTGAATAAGAGCTGCAACGCAAGAGGGAATGTGGCTCGCGTATAGCCCGTTCACGGCTGGCTTGGGACAGCGAACGGGCGGTTTAACTTGCGCGGCGATTGTAGATCATTGCGGTCATACATGCGCCTTTAATAAGAGCCTCATTTGGTGAATTATTTCTGTTTCTATTGAATTTATATTATGCCGTGTTCAAAGTAATTTCCGCGAAATGCAAAATACCCGTTAGAGAAAGGAAAAGATCACTAAATTTTGGAGAGTCAGAGATCATTTTGCATTTCGCGGAAATTACTTTGAACACGACATTATGTTTACATTCATTTCATTGGTTTTCAGATTAAACGAATAATAAGAGAAAAATAAATAAGTCATAAAATGGGGCTTTTATGGAAGGCGCATAGAAAGTCGCCATGATCTACCTTCCGCGCGAAAATTAAACCGCCCGTTCACTGTCCCAAGCCAGCCGTGAACGGACTATACGAGCCCTGCACCACAGTTGGCAGCGTGGTGCAGTGGCTAGCGTCTTTGCACTGTGGTGTCTATGTTCGGGGTTCAAAACTTTTTGAAGAAATTCGTTTTTGCCAGTTTTTCTATGAGGAATTCATCGACATTGGGGAAATGGACAAAACTTTTTTTCAAAAATAGCTTAGCTTCTCAGTTCACTCGAAAACGAAGACTTTCGACAAAAATTTTCTCTCGGCCCATAGGCATGATCAATAGATCGCTTTCTGTATTTTTTTTTTTTGCAAGAATCTAGAGGAGACTTGCTATTCTTTCTGTGGCGTAAATTTTTTTATTTCATTTCTTTTGAATTATCAACTGGACTGAAACGCTGATCAAATTATTTTGGACAAAAAAAGTGTTTTAAAAATTTTTTTTGATTATTTTTTTGCTTGAAATAAATTTTTTTCTTTATTTTTCTGTATGATTTTTTTGTCCAGAATAATTTTTTTCTCAAAAAAAGTCAAACAGTTGGTATCGATAAACAAGATTCTTACTTTTTCACAAAAATAGTAGTCACTATTTTTCGTAAGTAGTGTCTTTACGTAAGTTGGAACTTTCTTTTAGGCATAATACCAGGGAATTCCAGATTATTCGACAGACAGGGGTATTGCTGGGGCTGCGTCCCGTCGAAAATTTTAAAAAATTCTCAAAAAAATAAAAAAATGAGCTAAAAATAAAAATTGACGCCAGCAATTGGTGGAAACTACACTGAAAACCCTCCAGATGATGAGAACTACTGGTTAGGGGAGCAAAAAAACGGTTTGGAAAAATTTTTTTAATTTCGCTCGACTTCGAGGTCGACCGCTTCGGCTGCTTGGAGGTCAACTGGATCACCCGGAAACAGAGCTTGGGAATATTTTTTTAAAGAACTTGGGAAGATGTAACGGATCAGTACAACGAAAAAAACTCCAAGCATTCCTGGTATCCTAATCCAGTAGAGCTCAATGCTTGGAAAAGGAAAGAAAAAAACAATGAATCCGAAAAAGTGAAAAAAATTGGAAAAATTTCGTCATGCTTGAGAGCCATAACTTTTTTTGTTCCAATTTTTTTGTTGAGTGGATTGTGTCTGATTGGCAAAAAGAAGTGAGGGAAAATCCTGCTCCTAAGAAAGTAACTGATTTTTAAAAATTTATTCATTTTCAAGTTGGTCGCGTTCTCCGAGATGGAGGTCAACTGGATCACCCGGATTCAGAGTTTCTAGACATTTTTTTCCTCTACTCACAAGACCCTAACGCGTCGATTGAAAAAAATAAAAAAATCCAGGCATTCGGGGGTTCTATTACTAGTTAGAGCAAAAAAAGATTGAAAAATGCCGAAAAAAACGAAAAAAATTGGAAAAAAACGTCAGAAATTTTTTTAAAAGGGTTCCAGCTCGCTACTTTTGAGCTGTAATTTTGCAGCAAGCTGTCGTATGTTGAACAAAAATAAGAAACAAGACAGAATCCGGCTTTCACAAAAAATAGAAATTTTCAAAGGTTCTGCGATTTTCAAGTTGGTCGCGTTCTCCGAGATGAAGGTCAACTGGATCACCCGGATTCAGAGCTTCTAGACATTTTTCCTCTACTCACAAGACCCTAACGCGTCGATTGAAAAAATAAAAATCCAGGCATTCGGGGGTTCTAGTACTAGTTATGACTTGAAGACTGCGAAAATCGTCATTTTTCAAAAAACTTTAATTTTTTTCTTCTGAAAGAAAATTTTTTCCGGGTCAGTTCTATAACTTTAAATGGTCAAAAGGGAACATATTTTTGTTTCAAAAATTGGTTTTGGACCAATTTGCTCCACTAGGAAAAAAAGTTTGGTTTTTTTACGGTGTTTTTTCTACAGTAAGCCTGAAAGTGGGCGGAGCCTAATAAAACCTGGTCTAAATATTCAAGAGGTTGTCCACTATCTATCATAGCAAGGAGAGCTCTCAGGAACAAAGATGAAATTTTTGTACCAAACTTTTTCGCATTTGTTCGATTTTCTGGGAGAATGCGTGTTGAAAACTAGCAATTCGCCTGGATCCGGCTTTAAAAGAACGGACAAGAGAATTTTTTCGGCTACTGAAAGTTGCCGTTTTGCACTGAAGCTCTTAATTTCAAAAATGGTCAAGGATGATATAGCTGATTCACGGCTGGCTTGAGCCATCGAAAAAAGGGTCCTGACACGATAATGCACGAGATAGCGCCTCGTTCGTGGAGAGCGCAGACAGGAAACGCCCCCTTAGCGTCCCAAGCTGGCCGTGAATCAGCTATAAATGGACTTTAAGTATTCAGACTACTTTTTCGGAATGGAAACGGACTTCTTACTTCTGAAGGTTCGAAACAGCCGATAAAAAAATGAAAACAAACTTAGCCGCGACGAGGAAAGTCGTGACGAAGGGCAGGACTGAAAAGGCGACGCCGAAAGAGACGCCCATGTAGGCGACGATGTGTTGGGCGTAGAATCGGCCGACCAAGGTCAGGCTTCGAAGAAATCCGGCGACGATCAGCCCGAATGGGGCCAAGGTCAGCGGCATCACGTAGAGGGGCCTGGAAGGACTCGGTTCAGTTCCAGGGATTCATCTACCCATCTCGCATTTCAAATCGGGAGCAATTGATTATACCTCGGTGAGTCGAACCGGATAACCCCCGGACGACTCTGAGCATTTCTAGTGATCTCTTAAGGGTTCTCACGCCACTGGAAAGATCACTGATAACTAGAAAAGCTCAAAAACCTCAGTTTGCTCTACCGCTCGGACCTCGGAAACAGACGCGCTCCGGACCTTTCTGAGCAACTCTAGGGATCACTTAAAGGAGATAACGCTACTAAAGCGGTCACTAGAAATTCCTGGACACGTCCGATTCGCGTTACCAATCTTTGAGCAACTCTAGGGATCATTTAAGGGTGCTGACGCTACTAAAGCGGTCACTAGTAATGCCTGGACACTTCCGATTCGCGTAACCGGTTTCTGAGCAGTTCTAGGGATCACTTAAGGGTGCTGAAGCCATTAAAGTGGTCACTAGAAACGCCCCGATAAGCCTGATCCCGTTCACGTTACCAAAGGCCCGAGAAAGTAGAATAAAAGTCAAATTAGCCGTGGGGCGCACTTGGCTGGTTTTTTTGCGCTTTTTTAATAGCAGCTCTGTTTATCTAATGCTGTTTGGTGTTATATCCGATTCCTATCTATTTTTATTGATGTATATCCCCGATTTTCATCGAATTTCATTGAGATCTCACCAATTTCCGCCATGAGTGTAGACAATAACCGGCAGAAGGATAATGAAAAGGGCTGATAGTAGGAATCCGACAGTGTTGAAAACTCGGACGTGAGCCGTTGATGAAGAACATCGGCATAAATTGACGATTCCGCCGATCAGGAATGCGATGGGCTAAAAAATTGAGCTTGAGTCACAGGTGTTTCTCAAACTTGCATTTTTTCTACAGCATGCTATGGATAATTTCTATCTTTTCAAGCTGGAAAAGAACTAAAATCAGTTCAAAAAACACTGTTCAAAGATTTTTCAAGCTTGAAGTATTTTTTTGATCCAACTTTTCGGTCTCAAAACGACTAGAAGCAGTCCAAAAAACCCCCACCAAGAAAAGGAAAGGAAGCGCCGCGTAGGCCCCGATGTAGTCGACGTAGAAGACGTCCTGGGAGCTCAGAAACGACGGAATGTAGAGGGCGAAAAGGGCGACGGCGAAGAAAAAAGCCGTCGCCGAGAGCCAAATCGACCAAGCCGACAGTGATCGGAGCAACGTTGAGAAGGGTGCCGAAACGGCTCGGTTCTTTTGGAGCTCCTAGAATGATACGTTGCAAGTGATGGGTTTTATGGGTGCATCCTTGATTTCTACCAATTATCTCACCTGAACCTTTCCGGCGACGATTCGGTTCAATTCCAGGCCATTGACCCAGGGATGGTACTGGGGTCGGTCACGGTAAAAGATGTAGAAACTGGAATATCAATTTTTTAAAAATTTGATAAGAAAACCAACATCAATGCGAAGAATGCAAGGCCGCCGGCGTGGATGCAATAAATAACTAGAAGAGACGTTTCAGTGGAATAGAGGTACGTCGTGAGGGGCCAGGAGAACGAAGGGCCGAACTGGAAAAATTCAAACTTGAAAAGGCCGCACGTAGAATGGCTCAAAGCGTCACGTGTTCTCGCGCTTCAGAGCGGAAGTCGGTTCAAGGTGGGCGCAATTTTTCTAGCATTATTAGAAGTGTTCTAAACGCGGCAATACGATAGAGAATTTTTTTGAACTCCAATTAATAAAACCTTATCCTACCTTTCTCGGAAAAAATGCTCATGACAAAAAAAGAGCGAAAAAAAAAAATGAAGTGGTCACTTAAGCAAAAGAACCAAAAAATTTTCTTAAGGGGTTACTTCATTATTTTTTCAGAAGGCTTTTGCGAAACTATGTAATTCACTCAAGTGACTTCTCAAATAGCTTCAATATTCCTTAAGTGGTCACTATATGGACCTGTTTGAAACTAGGCAGCTTATCATAACCAAACTTAAATCATAACCAAATTTAAATCAAATGGTCACTTAAGTAAAAAAAAAACCAAAAAACTTTCTTAAGTGACTACTTTTTCATGATTCCAGAGAGCTTTTGCAAAACCATGTAGTTCACTCAAGTGACCTCTCAAAAAAGCTCCAAAATTTCTTAAGTGATCACTATATGGATCTATTTCAAACCAGGTAATTTATCATAGAAAAAAATTGAAGTTAATTGAAGTGGTCACTTGAGTGGAAGAACTAAAAAAATGTTCTTAAGTGACAACTTCGTCATATTTCCAGAGAGCTTTTGCGAAAATAAGTATTTCCCTCAAGTGACCTCTCAAAAAAGCTCCAAAACTTCTTAAGGGATCCCTATATGAATCGCTTTAAAACTAGACTACGTATAATAGCCAAACGTGAGGGTAATTCAAGGGGTCACTTAAGTTAAGTTTATAAAGATTATTTCTTAAGGGACTACATCTGAAAGGCTTGTTTAAAACGGTGTGACCAATCCAAGTGAGCACTTAAGAGCTCAGTCTTGCCTTGAGTGATCACTTAAGGGGTCAACTAACTTTATCAACTTTAAAGACAGCTGATGATCATTATATGGCTTTTTGAAGCTTTCTCACGTTCCTACAAGAATCATCCCTTAAGTGACCACTTAGACTTCTCTAGCTTGAAGTCCTAACTATCGTGTTTATGGATCAATTTTTTAAAAGTCACAGAATTATCTACAGTTCGCTGGAGCGCACTTTCAAAGACTTTTTTCTCACCGAGACGAACAAAAAGAGAGTGGAAATGAACTGGAGCTGTTCCCGAAGGGTCGCCCAATTTGCGGTGAAAGATCCGATGACCGGAAAAACCGTGGCGAAGAAGATTCCCTGAAGAAGACGGACGGAGAGAAGGGCGGCAAATCCTGGAAAAAATCTTTAAAATGCGAACAGATGGATGAAAAATCACCGAAAGGGATGACGAAAGCGTGGGAAGCTGTCAGGAAAGCCGAAGCCAGTAAAGTCATACTGAAAAGCTTCCGGGGGCCCAATCTGCTGGTCAAAACGGCTGCGGGGACGATTCCGATGAGGACTCCTGGAAAGAGGTTTTTTCGAAAATTTTCCTCCAAAATTTTGCAAAAATAGCCCCTCATTTCAATGGAAGGGCTTCTGCGCCCACAGTAGGTTATTTTTTTAATTCGATTTTCCTTCCGAATTGAGATCTTTATAGTTTTCTATATTTTTTTCATTTCTTTCTGCAAAAAAATTCCAAACCTCTAAAAAAATTTTTTTTTGATGAACCCAATGAATTTTAACAGTCTCAAGCTGCATATTTCCCTAATTTTCGAGTAAAATCTGAACTTAGTTTTTTTTAGGCTCCTGATGATTTTTTTCTAGCCTCTAGGCAAAAATTAAAATTTCTTTGAAGTTTGAGCCTCTTTAAACTAAGCGATTCAATCAAGTTATCTCTTAAGAGCTCGAACTCGAGTGAAAGACTAACTTTCTTAAGTGGCCACTTCCTTACATTCCCATAAGCTTCTACGAAACTACTTGACTCTCCTGAAACACTTAAGTGATCACTAAATGGATCCCTTTGGAACCAGGTCATAGCAAAGCTGAATCCGAGTGGTCACTTAAGTGAAGAAAATCACAAATTTCGTCGTAGTTTTATCTTGAAAGACTTCAATGAAACTATTTGACTTATTTAAGTGATCACTTGAGAGCTCAAACTGGTCTCGAGTAATCACTTAAGGGGACAACTGACCCTACTCAAAAACCATCCCTTAAGTGACCACTAAGACTACTTTTATTTCAAGTCCTAATACTCATGTGTATGGATCAGAATTTTCTTCAGAATGACTGTAAATTCAAGAGTTCGCTGGAGCGCACTTGCCAACCACTCATTTTTTCTATTACACTTACACTCTGGGGTTCATTTCTTCGAGTTTTCTCAAAAATCATCCCCTAAGTGACCACTTTCACTTTTTATTCCGAATATTCCACTGGGGCATGGAAGAGTTTCCTAGCCGATTTCGGAAAATCATATGATTTTTTTTTTGCGGGCGGGGGGATGAATTTATTTTAACTTCAAAGCTTATCATCGATTGGAAAAATGGTCAAAGAGTTACGGCAAGTTTCGAAGCCCGACCCAAAACGACTTTCGCTCTTAGGTATCCATAAGCTGAGCCGCAGACCCTTCGAGCCATTCTACATGCGACCAACTCACCGATTCCAGGAGCCGCATAAAGAAGAGCCCTGACGACGTCTTCAACCAGACTATTCGACGGGATGACGTTGATAGAACTTCTGAAAAAAAATTCAGAAGACGTCACAAGAAATTCCTGGAAATTCTCACTTCTCAGCCACTTTTTCTGGTTCATCCTCCTTGGCGACTTTGCCGTCCAACTCATCTCTGTCGCCGTTTTCGCCTTCTTTGAGCTTCTTCAGCGTTTTTTTCGACTTCTGAATGATACGGTTTTTGTCATAAAAAAATTCTCAAATTTCTCTTTTTTGATTTTTCCAAAAAAACTTCAAATCAGTTTCTACCGATTTTTTTCTCGAACAAAACCTCCAAGTGGCCACTTGAAAGCCTACCACTAACATTTTGATCTGCAAAAGCCTGGGGAAACCCTTAAGTGATTGCTCCAAACCTTCTCAAGTTTAAGCTTTGAAAAGTAAATTAGAACCCTCAAGTGGCCTCTTCAAGATTTACGACATGTTTGTGCTCCAATGATAAATCAAAACCCTAAAGTGATCACTTTAAAAGGCATCATAATACAGCTTGAGCGTCAAAATTAAAAAAAAAGATTTATCAAGTGATTCCTCTAGAAAAAGGAATAAAAAGCCGGAAAAAATCTTGATTTTTGCGTTGAAAACCCCTTAAGTGGTCTCTTTCCGAAGTTTTTAATTTTCTAACTATTCTCCCACCCAGCTCTTAAGTGATCACTTCAGGAAATTTGAAAATTCAGTCTAAAAAGTCAGTTGAGGGCTCCAAAGGTATAACATCCTATAGTTCAAAGCTATTCTCAAACCCGAGCTCTCAAGGGATCACTTCATAAAATCCAAGCTCTCAAGGGGTCACTTCAGATTTTCCCACCAAAAAGTCAAATTCAACTGTAGCTGATTCACGGCTGGCTTGAGCCTTCGAAAATAGGGTCCTGACACGAAAAAAAAGAGATCGTGTCTGCTTGAGGGAGAGCGCAGACAGGCCACGCCCCTTACGTCTTAAGCTAGCCTGAATGCCTCTTCCCACCTTGCATGACGACGTTATCCGCCTCATAGGTGGCCCGTCTTCTGATTGTAGTCGTCCTGGGCGGCGACGTCGTCGTCGAGGCCGTCGGCGAGTTGGTGATGAAGATCGTCTTCGGCTTCTCGGTCTTCTTTTTGGTTGGAATCGGTGTTGAAATCGTGGTCAGGACAACTTTCGAGCTGGGTAGAATCGGATGGCCTTCGTCGTCGTCTGGAAATTCAGAACATTGATCAGATTCATGTGGATTCAGAACCATATTCAGAATCGATTATTTCGGTGACGCTGTCCCGTAAAACCGAAAGATCTGGTTGCGAGCCATTGATGTCTCGTTTTGTCCGACCTGAAATGAAATTTTGGATTTTTTAAAAATTTTTCTTTTCATATAGAACACAAGACCGATTTCTTTGATTTTAAAATGAAAACTTTTTTTTGAGACCCAAAAAATCCAATTTATCGGTTCTTTAAGGTTTTCTTTGACTTAGAAATTATGGATTTGCCATGAATAATCCATTAAACCTGAAGTCTAGAAAATCAGTGAACTCATGGGTCTCTATTGGAACTGTCTATGCACCTTTAAACTTTCTAGAAAGGCTTTTTCGAGCATTCTAGACTCTACAAAAAGGTAATTTTCCCTAAGGATTCAGAATTTCCTATAAATTGGCCATAACACTCCGTGTTTTACCGATAAATCGGCCATAACACTCCTTGTCGTACCAAAATAATATTCTGAAAGTCTTAGCCTGCAAAACTCCCCAGTTTTCTAGAAAAAAGGGATAAAAGTTCCAAAAATAGCCTATTTTGAGAGATTTTTAAGGTTCACAAGGACAAGAAAGTTTTGCAGGTTGGGTGTTTTTTGGCATCTCAAAGATGCTCATAAGTGATCACTTCAGCGAAACTCCGAATATCCGTCTAAAAATTCAGAGTAATGGGCTTCAAAAGTATAACTTCCTAAATATAATAGTTCAAAGCTATTCTCAAGTTCGAGCTCTTAAGTGGTCACTTCAGAAATTTTCGGGAAGTCAGTTCAAAAAACAAGATTATGAGTCCCAAAGCTATGCCTAAATGCGAGCTCTCAAGGGATCACTTCATAAAATCCAAGCTCTCAAGTGGTCACTTCAGTGAAATTCCAAATCACGGACTCCAAAAAAACTGTAATATTTCATTCTCAAGTGATCACTTAAGGAAATTTTTTTATTTGAATATTTATTTATTTCACTCCAATACATAAAATAACATGAGCTACAAAGAAAGAGGCAAAGTTGGGCAAGAATTGTATGGGAGTGAAATGAGCACCGGTTTTAATACGCCCTCACGAGCGAATTTACCGGTATAGGGAATAGAACACGTAGAAGGATTTTTGATCACAGTAGACGTAAGGGAATGTTGGAAAAAAAGTTCTTCGTTGCTTAGCGAGTCGAGAAACTTTCTGAAACGGGTGGTAGACGTGTTAGGGTTGAATCTTGAGCAGAGTCTATTCCAAAGAGGAATGACAGTGCTAAAAAAACTATTAAATCGGGAACCAGTCTGAATCAAACGAAAAAGGATACCGAGGTGAACGACTTCTACTGAAAAAAACTTTTTCTGCGCTAGGAAAGTGGTAAATGCCCAGGACGATTTTTTTGAAGCGTTACTAGAGCAATAGAAGTTCTCCTACGGAAAAACATGAGTAGAACCGAGTACATCGAGGCGATGGGAGTATGTGTCAAAGGATTTATTACGTCTCATGAAAACTTGCCTAGTATAATGACGGTAAGGTTTTTCAAGTAGGACGGAAAGTTCTGAATTTATAGGCGGTGAGAAGATTTCAGAGCAATAGTCAAGATAGGGTCTAGCGTACATGTTGAATAGTAAATTATACTGCTGGATGTTCAAGTGAGCAAAAGCTTTGAGCAGCTGTTTAGATTTGAGAGTGGCAATGTTGACTACATGATTAATGTGAGGGCTGAAACACAAATTTTTATCGATAAGGAGACCGAGGTCTCTGACAACAGTTTCAGATCGAATAGGTGAGCCATTAACATTGTAAACATGTTCAGGATTGTTTCTGCCTAGATGAAGAACAACAGTTTTATTGGCCGCAACTGGGAGGCCCCAAGTTTTGGACCAATCGAGCAATCTATTTATACTGTCTTGGATAGCATCAGGGTTATCTGAAGAGATTTTCAAGTCATCGGCGAACAAATATGAAGTAACGGAAGATTGGAAAGGAAGGAAATTCCAAAACTCCGTTCAAAAATTCAGTTGAGGGAAGGTATAACTTCCTGAATATAATAGTTCAAAGCTACTCTCAAACCCGAGCTCTTAAGTGGTCACTTCAGAAATTTTCGGGAAGTCAGTTCAAAAAACAAGATTATGAGTCCCAAAGCTATGCCTAAATGCGAGCTCTCAAGGGATCACTTCATAAAATCCAAGCTCTCAAGTGGTCACTTCAGTGAAATTCCAAATCACGGACTCCAAAAAAACTGTAATATTTCATTCTCAAGTGATCACTTAAGGAAATTCCAAAACTCCGTTCAAAAATTCAGTTGAGGGAAGGTATAACTTCCTGAATATAATAGTTCAAAGCTACTCTCAAACCCGAGCTCTCAAGTGGTCACTTCAGAAATTCAAATTATGAGCTCCAAAGCTATGCCTAAATGCGAGCTCTCAAGTGATCACTTCATAAAATCCGAGCTCTCAAGTGACCACTTCATTTTTCTCCGCCAGAAAATCAGAAATCCTCGTTTTTATCTGCAGCTGACACGACTGGCTTGAGCCATCGAAAAAAGGGTCCTGACACGAAAAGAGAGAGTGCCTGATTGGTGGAGGCCGCAGACAGGCCATGGCCTCAGCGTCCCAAGTTACAACGACTCAAAGATCCCAAAAGAGCCGAATTTATCAGATTTCTAGGGTTTTTGATTTTGAGGGGTCCTTTTCAAAAAATAGGAGATTCTCAGGAACTTGTACATTATGGAGTATTCTGGTCGAACTTTAGAAATTTCCCTTGTCAAGACTTTGAGGCTGAAACTGACTATGCCAAGTAGAATATTCATGGAGCGAGACGAGGCCTCCGACGGGCTTGTGTTGGTGTGGCAGGTCTTCATGAAGCACGGCGGTGAAGTTGAACAGGACCAGGTTGGCGAACAGGGCGGAGACGGCGGCCGTCGTCAAGATCAACACCAGGTTCCGGACGTTGTTCGTGAAGCAGCAGCAGCAGCAGCCCGGCCCGCGAGCCATCTCATTACTCTGCAAACTATCGGGTTATTTTATCAGTTTTGAAGTCTTTTTTGTCACTTTTGTCGCAAAAAACGAATGGAAAAGTTGAAAATTGAGGTTTCCATGATTATAAAACGGTTTTGGAACTTCTAATTTATGAAAAAAATCATTTTTTTGTCGCAAAAAAACGATGAAAAAAAGTGGAAAAATTAAGGTTTCTAGGAAAAATAAAAAAAGGCGCCTGGACTCTTATTTTTAGAACTTATTTGAACTGAAAACCTAGATTTTCGATTTCTGAGCCTTTTTAGCCGATTCTGATGAAATTTATAGAATTATTCAACCAATTTTTGAGCCGATTCTAGTCACTTTTTGTCGCGGAAAAACGATGAAAAAAGATGAAATTTAAGTTTCCAAGGTTATAAAATGGCTTCTGGACTCTTATTTTTGAACCTATTTGAACTGAAAATCTAGATTCTGTTATTTTTTGACTTTTTTAACCGATCCCGATGAAATTATTGAATTATTCAACCTTTTTTCAACTTCTTATAGGTATTTTTGTACCGAAAAACGATGGAAAAGTTGAAAATTGAAGTTTCCAAGATTATAAAACGGCTTCAATATTTTTTTAATTTGTGAAAAAAACCTCCATTCTGTTATTTTTTTGAGCTTTTTTTCAGCCAGAAATTATCGATTTATTCCTTTTTTTCTTAAATAATTTTTTTGCCCCTTTTGTCGTGAAAAAAACAATAGAAAAGTGGGAAATTATTGTTTTAAAAAGATATATAAAGGTCTTTGGACTGTAATTTTAGTAATCTTTCGAAGAAAAAAATCAATGAAAAACATGTACTAAAAATCCAAAAAAATGAGAAAAAGCTACCATTTTCTATCAGCTTCATCTTAAAAAAATTACTCTTAAAACGTTGATTTTTGTTTCATTCTCAAAGTTTTTAAATAACGTAAAACGAAAAACGAATTCAACAGAACAGAGAAAAAAATAAACCGCAAGCCAAACAATCGAAAAGGGCCAAGAGTGCAACAAAATTCCCACCAAAGACCGGCTTTTTTGAGGAGAATTGGATCAAGAAGCTTTTCGTTTACTTTTGAAGGAAATATTATTGAAAGGAAGCTTTTTCCCTATTTTTGGCCCGATTTCTTCTCACCAACAAAGTGCATTTTTAATGAGCTTTTTCCAAGGAAAACGGGATTTTTTGACTCGGTTGAGTGATTTCGAAACATGTACTTCACACCAATATCGCTTCAAAACAAATTTCTGGAATCTAACGTAGGAAAAACAAGGATCTCACTACAAAAATAAACATAAAAACGATCAAAAAAGTAGAAAATTTGAAAAATAAATCAAAATTCGAAGCTGAAAAAATTGAATTCCATTATAAAATTTGACAGGAAAAGCTCTAAAATCAACAAAAAGGGCCTTTTTCCAGAACTAATGATCAAAAAAGGCAAAACGTAAGAATTTTCTTTGACCAAAGCTTGGTGGCTAGGCAAACATAATTTCGTGTAAACAAAACGAATTCTGGGGGCGTGGTTTGCTCTATAACCTGAGCAATAAGACCTTAGGGTTTTTCTATTATTTCGTTGTTCGAAGGACGATACTTTCGACTGCAATTTTGTATAATTTCGGGGAATTTTCAAAACTTCAAGTTCAAACTTGAGTGACAACTATAGTGAACACTTGAAGAACATGGTAAAATCTTCATTTTATGAGGATTTTTTTCTAATATATTAATGAATTTTTCAAAGCCTCTAATTCAAACTGAACCTAAAAAAGACCCCAAAATTCAACTTCATGAGGAATTTCCTACTTTTTTTGGATTTTAAAAACTTCAAGTTCAAACTTAAGTGACAACTATAGCGGCCACTTGAAGAACACGCAAAAAAAAACTTCATTCTATAAGGATTTTCCTACTATTTTATCATATTTTCAAAACCTCAAATTAAAACTGAACCTAAAAAGACCCAAAACTCCAATTTTACAAGCGATTTCCTATTTTCTTTGAATTTTCGAAACCTCAAATTCAAACTGAGCCCGGAAAAATGGGGTTAAACAAACGGGACGAATCAATTGAGCGGGAAATTTGAAGAGAAAAATCGTAAAAAAGCGATGAGCCGGGGGGAAATCGCAACATTTTCCGCCTCTCGTAAAATGTCTGTTGGAATCAAAAAACAACAAGTTTACACACACACAAAGACGTACACGTTTTGACAGTTTTGAAATCGCTTCAATCAATTTCTGAGCGGCCCCCGCCGGCGGATGTTTTTTTTTTGATTTTTTTTTTGTTGGTTGAGACGAAAAGATGGATTAGACAAGGTTGAGAAAACAGAGGGGATCTGGTGGCTTTTGATCGGAGACTCTGAAGATCTGGTATTGACCAGAAACTTGAGATTAGGAGAAAAAAGTTCGAAAAAAATGAAGCTAGAAAAACTTGAAAAAAATCTGATCTTGAAAAAAACACTAAAAGTCTAAAAATTAATTAATTTAACCCCAGAAAAAAAGCTGGAGAAAAATGAATTTTTTTGGCTAAATTTTCGTTTAGAAGTCTAGAATCCAGTATTATTGGACCGAAAAAGGCTTTTTATAAAAAAATATTATTATTTTGATTGGAAACTCCGGATTGAACAGAAACAAGACTGACAGAAAAAATGTCTTAAAATGGCTTCTGAGAAACTTAAAAAATGAGCTACAAAAGCTGGAAAAGGGCTCAATTTTCGTTTAGAAGCCTAGAATGCAATAATTTAAGCTTACTTTCAGTCTAGAAGTCTAAAATTAGATAATCCAACCCCAAAAATGGCTTTTTCGATTTTAAAAACCTTTTGCTTTTGATTAGAGACTTTAGAGCTCTGATATTGACTGGAAAACAAAGTTCAGATTTTTAAAAAATGCTAGAAAACCTCGAAAACGCAGTAAAAAAAAGCCCAAAAAATAAATGTAATAATAAATTTAAGCTTTATTTTAGTTTAGAAGTCTAGATTCCAATAATATCTGCTTACTTTCAGTCTAGAAGTCTAAAATTAGATAATCTAACCCCCAAAAAGGCGTTTTCCGATTGAATATCCGACCAATGTTTTCAGAAAAAATGAAAAAAGTGTAATTCAATGATTTTGAAAATCTTCAAAAATGCAAAAAACGGATCGAGAAGCCAGTTGACAGCTCTAATATCGCAAAAATCCATGAAAGTGCATTTGCGGGTGGAAAATTTGGTAGAAATTGCTAAAAACGTGAAAATAACCTATTTAGAACCATTAGAAGGATTTTCGAGCTTCAAAATGCTTCCGAAAATGACTTTTAATGACAAAAATCTGTATCATCCTCTGATAAAAAACCGAAAAACGGCCGAAAAAGTGGGATTCAGGCCTTTCGGGGATCTTAAAATTGCAGAAACTACAAGTATCATCCCAAAAGCCGATTCAAAAACCTAAAACTATGAAAAATTCAAGAAAAGGGCATTTTTACGTTAGATTCTGTGGTGGGAATCACCGAAAAATACGAAAAATAAAAAATTGAAAGCCTTAAAAAATTCAAAACTAACCCTCTCGCTCCATCTAGTCTCTCTCCTCCGCTATCTATCGGTTCTCCCGCGCCAAAAAACAATTGCAATATTTTTGATCTCAAAATTATTCTTTCTAATATACGTTCGTTGCGTTCTCCTAGTAAAATTCAACTCTTATTTGACCATCTTTCATTTTCTTCCATTGATTTATGTTTTTATTTGTGAAACTTTCCTCACTGCTGACTATCCTGACTCTTTGTTTAATAATCCAACTTACAGCTTCTTTCGTCGGGATCGTTCAATTTCTTCTGGTAGAGCTTCTGGAGGTGGCGTAATAGTTTTTTATCGAAAGACATTGCCCTTGGTCGAAGTGGATTGCCTTCTGGACAGGTTTTTATCCTTCTCATTTTTTTGCGATCTTATTTGTTTTGACATTATATTTCCTAATACTTTTAATATTTCTAAAGCCCGTTTTTTTCTGGTTTACCGTCCACCAAACACTTCTAATGATTCATCTTCTAATTTATTTCAGCATATTTCTCGTTTCGTTACCTCTCAGAATTGTACTATCCTTGGAGACTTTAATTATCCAGGAATCAATTGGCTTAACTTATCTTGTACTAATCTATGTTCTCAAAAAATGTTAGATTTTTGCCTTAGCTCTAATTTAACACAGCTTGTTCCCTCTCCCACTCGTATAACGGATCATTCTTCCAACATTCTCGATCTTATTCTATCCAACTCGTCCAATTCAATCATAGACGTTAATGTCTCTGAACCTCTCCTCAATTCTGATCATAATACGGTCCTTTTCAAATATAAATGTCCTTTGATTCCCTCGTCTCCTACCACTATTCGTCGATTGAATTTTTCCAAATGCAACTTCGATTCGATCAATCTTTCTCTTTCTTCGCTTAACTGGGATCGTCAATTCAGTTTTTTCTACAGTTGAATCTAAATTTCAGCATTTTTCTTCGTATATTTAATGAATTGATTCGCGACAATTGTCCTTTCACCTCACTTTCTCACCGTTCCTCTTTTAATTTCAAATCTGACCGTCTAATTCGTCGCTTACTTCAAAAAAAAGCCTCTCTTATCAATAACGGTCATCATTCCACTCACCTCCGGCAAAAGTTCAATCTCACTGTCAAACTTATTCGTAAAAGAACTGCTTTTTTATTAAGGAAATTCCATACCAAAGTTGCTCTATCCTACAACTCCTCTAAACTTTCCAAATTTATTTCAAGACAGCTTAAGATCGATTCTGGGATCCCCAATCTGCTTTTCAATGATAATTATATAATTGATGATGAATCAAAGGCCGATGTCTTCTCATCTGTGTTCTATTCCAATTTCTCTAACACTAACCCTCAACCTTTCCCAGCTCTTCCCTCACCTGAACCTATTAACTGTAGTATATTTTTCTCCCCCGATGTTGTTTATAAATTTCTTGCCTCTCTACCTCCGAAATGTGGATTTTCCACTGATAATATTAACTTTCTTGTTCTTAAA